TACATGGGCTGGACTGAATGTAATTATGGAATCACTGGGGTAAGGGTTTGGATGTTCCTTAGATTGGGCATTGCTAATTCTTGCATCAACTGGTCAACTCTTAACGTGAGTAAGATCTCAATGTCATAGCAGGATCTAATCGTTCATTCATTGATTTATACCTTGCCAGAATTCTCCAATACCTGTTCGATAACACCTGGCTGGATAGCTTTACAAGAGCTGTGTTTGTCGAGTTCACCGTCTACAATGCCAACGTGAACCTGTTTTGCATCATAAGCCTGATGTTTGAAACCAACGCCTTAGGTGAGAGCTGGAGGACTTAGACCAGAATCCATGTAGGCCATGTGATAATTTAGGAGACATTCAGGCTGCCTAATGCTGCCAGATTACAACACATACAAATCAGGATTGGTGGAGTTTCAAATCATCATGATCTTTTGGACTGCCCTCTGAAGACATTCCTGATTACGCCACTGGAGAGGGGAAGAGCAGAATTTGATGCTTTCTTCTCTGCCTTTGGAGAAAAGTTTAAGGGAAATAAGTGCACTAAGAATAGCCGATAGCTGGATAGTAGGAAGGGCAAGAGGCTCAAAAGAGACCCTCCCTAGAGACCCTCCTTTACTCCCTGGAGTAAAGGAGTCAGGAGAGGGGAGAATTGTACTTTCAAATTTGCAATGGCGCCCTTGTGGGATACACCAGGTAGGAATCACAACCAGATGAACTAATTCTACTTTCTTTGTAAAGCTAGATTGACGGAATCTTGCCAGACTGAAGGTACAGTTCTCTTTCCATCTCCTTTATAGCTGGAGAAACTTGGGAGGGTTTCTTCTGATCCTCTTTGCCCTGCCCACTCTACAGTTGTGGGCTATGGTGTCTCTTATCTGTCTTTTCCCTTGGTAGCATCCCTTTGTCCAGTCTCTTGAGGTCTTTCCTATCTTCCATTACCAATGCCTTACTTTCATCCAGGGTCTTCCTCAGGTTTTGAGATTAGGGCTACGCAATAGCAATAGCACCTTTATAGGCTGCCCCATAATGCTCTACAGCACTCCCTAGGCAGTTTACAGAGTCAGCCTGTTGCCCCCAACAAGCTGGATCCTCATTTTACCAACCTCAGAAGGATGGAAGGCTGAGTCCACCTTGAGCCCTGTCAGGATCGAACTCCAGGCGGTGGGCAGAGTTTGCCTGCCGTACTGCCTTCTAACCACTGCACCACCAAGGCTCTTCGGAGGAATGCTGGGGATTCTTTTTCCAAAACAGAACACCCTGGACTTAACAACTGTCGATAAGAAAGACTAAAACGTCTGGATAGTGGATGTGGCAGTGCCTGGAAACAGCAGAATAGACGAGAAAGAACTGGAGAAGATCACAAAATACAAAGACCTACAAATAGAAATAGAAAGACTGTGGCAAAAGCAAGCAAGGGTGGTACCAATAATCATAGGTGCCTTGGGTGCAATCCCAAAACAGCTGGAGCACCACTTGAACACCATTGGCATTGACATGCTTTGGAGCATGCAGAGTGTTAACGCAGTATAAACCTATGCTCCTTTTTCATCGCCTCGAATAATGTAAAAAGCTTCCTGACACTGTCCATACTTTAGTCCACCTAAAGCCCAAGATGAAACCACTACACCATCATCAAGACCACAGCGTTTGGCCTCTGTAGGTTTGTATGTCCTGCTGATTTAATTACACATATCATTTGCATGACTTGAACTGTCCTGATCTAGGACTGTGGCCTGCAGGTGGCAGAGCACGCACTAAAAAACTCCACTGAACCAAGATTGCAGTTGAATGTGACCTGGAGGCAGGGAAAGGCTTTGCCCACGTGAGCCTTGCTGTTGCTGAGGCCAAAGTCTGTCATTGATCTCAGCTTTCACGTGACGAGACGGTTTGCAGGTTCAATGAAATAGTTTTCAACACCAGCAAAACCACAGAACAGAAGCCTTTCAAAGCCAAAGGAACGAAATACGTTCATTCCACCTGCCTGCTTTGGTACTGATCATCCAAATCAACCTTTGTGCAGAAACCAAATGGCCAGGATACCAATTTTTATTTTCTATCGTTTCAGCTTAGCCTGAGTTCTCACATCCCTGCTTTTAATCCCACAAAGAATAGACTTTATATATATATATATATAGCTGTGAGGCTGCTGGGGAATTCCTTCATCGCTGTGGGATGTCATCACATCTTAAAAAAAACACACTGCAATTCCAGGGTGGGCTAAAGAAAGAGGATATTTAAGGATATTTGAGAATTAAGTTCGGTCTGTTTGTTTGGGCAGCTGCAAAGGCTATGAAGAGTGGCTGCAACCATGTAAATCCTGCAAACTAAATATTATTCCTCTTGGAATAATATTTTCAGCAACGAGGAGTGCCTTTGATTAACCTCTCTAGTTCTTTGAAGTAACAAGCAAGAATGAGACGTTCTGATAAGAACTGGTTCAAACTGGCCAGAGACAAGAACTGCCCCCAAAGTTGAAAACCTTAAAACTCGTTATAATATGGGAACCACACCTATTGAATATGCAACTGAACGCTAACAAGATCAAGCTGAGAATAGTATGGGATAATATGAAATGTTATATAGTACACATAGAGCTACTAAGCATGCTTAACTAGATGACAGGTGAGCCAATTGATGCTAATCAATGAAAGAACACTTTTCGAACACGTGTTTGAACTGTACATAAAGTGATTCCCCACCTTTCCAAGGAGCTTCTCACACCTTGTATTTGTGGGAGACCTCTTTTTCTTTATGCATAAATAAAGAGATATTAATCTACCTTTCCGATTCTGGCCACTGTTTACAGATAACAACTATTTCTGTACAACTAACTCCTGGTTTGATTTTTTTTTTTAGGGGCTTTTTTCCCACGGGCTGAATTGCAAAGTATCCGGCTTTATCCATACACCGATGGGCTACATATCTTTGTTGTTGCAGCAGAAATAATTTATTTCCTCTTCGTTATCTACTACATGGTGGAGCAGGTAAGAGGAACTCTGCTGGGTTGAAGAGGAGGCCTGCAATTACTTTATTACCAAAGTGACCAGGTTCCAGGTCCTACGTGTCTGGTTTACAGACAGCAAAGCTGCCTTTTCGCGCCACTGCTCACACAGATTGTACTACTGAAAACTGAATATCTTGTTCCAACAGGTGAAAATCCTCCGGGCTCTGAAATGGAATTATTTCCACAGCAAATGGAACCTCCTGGAGGTGGCCATCATCTTGATCAGTTGGAGTGCCCTGTCTGTTTTCGTTCGGAGGATGATCTTGGGCTTAAGGGACATCAGTTACTACCAGGAACATAAGGATGAGTATGTTTGGTGCTCTGACACTTGCTAAATGCACTGTCCCACTGAAGGAGGAGAACTTGTTAATAGCAAGACTTTTCCTTTTAAGAATCAGGGTCATTATGATTTATAAATACATTCAATAAGCATTTGTGTGTCTGTAGTTTATACATGCAAACCAGTGGTTCTCAACCTTTTTAATGCTGTGACCCCAACCGGTCGTAAGTTGAGGACTAAACCGGTCATACATCGAGGACTAAACCGGTCGTAAGTCGAGGACTAAACCGGTCGTAAGTTGAGGACTACCCAACCAATCGTAAGTCAAGGACTTTCCCTGCCCGGGAGTGCCACACATGCGTGGTTCCGCCCCCTGCGCCGGCCGAGGCGTAGCTGGCAAGCGGCAGAGACGGAGCAGGCCGACCACCAGCTGGCCCAGCCCAAGGGAGGTAAGGCACCCGCCGGAAAAGGGGGAAAAAATGGCGGACAAAAAAAATGGCGGACAGCCTTGCTTGGCAACCCCCGTGAAATGGCCGATCGACCCCAAATGGGGTCCCGACCCACAGGTTGAGAACCACTGATGCAAACTAAAATATTTCATCCAGTTTCTTTCTTTTGCAAAAGAGGGGGCAGAAGAGATTTCTCTTAATGGTTTTTCTTTTCTTGTCTGTTTTGTTTTGTTGCTGGTGTCTTTCTACCATGTGCATCTTGCTTGGCTACTCTTGTTTCCTGGCTGGGAAAAAAAAAAACCTTGGAGAAACTATTTCCAAATGTCTGCCGTGATGATTTGATTGAAGTGTGAGAAACTGGGGAAGTTGCAGATTCTTGGAAAGAAAATTAAGTCATAGGAGACAGGACGTCCATACACACCTACTAGCAATGCTGCCTCTTTGTCCTGTGTAAAACCTTATGCTGCCCTCATTAATACATACAAATGTATTATTTTTCCTCTTGTGAGGTTAAAAAATTCATCAGCAGATAAGTAATTTCTGTTCCAGTCAGACTGAATGAGAATGTCTTTAAGGTAAACGCAGGGAAAAATTTTCTTTGCACATGTAGATGAAACAATAATCAATAAGTCAATAATCAAATGAGTTTTTCTTTTATTAGAAAGATGTAGGATAGCTTGGGGGATGCGGTGGCTGAGCAGTTGAGACACTGGACTTGTCTACGGTAAAGTTGGCAATTCAAGACCCAAGCACTGCATGATAGGGTGAGCTCCCATCACTTGCCCCTCCCAGTAGTTCAAAAGCATGCAAATGTGAGTAGATAAATAGGGAGCATTTTGGTGGGAAGTTAACAATGTTCCAGGTGCCAGCCGTGTGACCTCAGAAGCCTCTTTGAACAATCCTGGTTTCCTTTCCTCGGAAGCAGAGATGAGCACGGCCCACAAAAGTTGAACACAACTGGACAGGAGAAACCTTTTACCTTTTTTTCAGGATGACAAAAACAGTAAGAGAACAGTTAGCTCAGGGTCACCTAATGTGGCTTGCGACTAATTTGAGAAGCTGAACCTCCAGCATGGAAGCTGGAGAATTAAGCCACGATCTCGGTTCCTCCGATCGTGGCTTAATTCTCCAGCTTCCATGCTCTGACCGATGGACTGGGATGGCAGTTCCCAGAAGCAAGGCTCCACGGTTGCCCTCCTCCCTGCCACATACCAGCTTATTCCAATCCCTGAATTTTCTTAGGTTTGTGAGCTTCAATCAAACAGCTACGGTGGATGCAGTGCTGGGTTACCTGATTGCGTTCCTGGTGCTTCTTTCCACCGTGAAACTTTGGCACCTGTTGAGACTCAACCCCAAGTTGAACATGATCACCTCTACCTTGCGAAGAGCCTGGGGGGACATATCAGGATTTGCCACCGTGATTATCATCATGTTCCTAGCTTATTCCATCGCTGTGAGTAGTCTGGAAGCCTATGCTCAGCCAGACTGAGCCTGCTTGCATGTTTGTTTATTCAGTTTAGCTAGCATCCACATGGGTTGTTCATAAAGCAGAGAACTTAGTCTAGAACAAAACAGAGTACCATTTCCCCCCCCCCAAAAAAAATTTCAAATCCTGAGCAGAACTGGATGTTAGGATCCCATCCTAAGCCTTTGCGAACACTGTTATACTAACTACAGCTTGGAAGTAAACTAGCTTACTTCTCCAACACCAAGAAAGAACTGCAACTGATTTCAAACCGGTTCAGAATCCTTATGTGGAAATGTCTTAAAGCTAGATGTTGTGTTAAATAATACTCATTTTCAGTCTACCTTTCTTCTGGGAACTCAAAAGTTACACGTACCCTCTTTTTATTCCTGGGGCAACATTTCTACGCGTTAGTTCAGGAAGGTAGGGCTGGTCCAAAATCAACTTGTGAGCTCCATTAATAATAATAATAATGATGATGATGATAAAGTTGGAAGGGACCTTGGAGGTCATCGAGTCCAACCCCCTGCTCAGGCAGGAAACCCTATACCATTTCAGACAAATGGCTGTCCAGTTTCTTCTTAAAAACTTCCAGTGTTGGCGCATTCACCGCTTCTGGAGGCAGGTTGTTCCACTGGTTAATTGTTCTAACTGTCAGGAAGTTTCTCCTTAGTTCTAGGTTGCTTCTCTCCTTGGTTAGTTTCCATCCTTTGCTTCTTGTCCTGCCTTCAGGTGCTTTGGAGAATAGCTTGACTCCCTCTTCTTTGGGGCAGCCCCTGGGATACTGGAAGACTGCTATCATGTCCCCCCTCGTCCTTCTCTTCGTTAAACTAGACATACCTAATTCCAGCAACCGTTCCTTATATGTTTTAGCCTCCAGTCCCCTGATCATCTTTGTTGCTCTTCTCTGTACTCTTTCTAGAGTCTCAACATCTTTTTTACATCGTGGTGACCAAAACTGGATGCAGTATTCCAAGTGTGGCCTTACCAAGGCTTTGTATCCTGTATGACCCACAGAAGAAGATAATAAGTTGGAGCATTATAGAAGTTAAAACTGTAAGATGCCCACGAGAGTGTGTGTTGAGGAATCTGGCCTTATGGAGAAGCTCCTTTCATTATCAGGCTTGAGATGATTATCGGCAGAATTAGTCCATGTTTTAACACTATAAAAAAAAAAAGAGAATAACGGAGTTGGAAGGAACCTTGGAGGTCTTCTAGTCCAACCCCCTGCTCAGGCAGGAAACCCTGTACCATTTCAGACAAATGGTTGTCCAATCTCTTCTTAAAAACCTCCAGTGATGGAGCACCCACAACTTCTGGAGGCATGCCATTCCACTGATTGTTCTATTTTCTCCATACCAGGTGAAATTTGAGCAGTAGGAGGGCCTGTGTAAACTGCTTAATGGCAGCTAGTATCATACTTGACTTTCCTGTTCACCAGCCCACTAACAGTTCTTTTTTTTTCATTATTCATTAATTTCATCCATTCATTAGTTTCATGACCTTGCTCCAGGAACTCAAGATGGCAGTTGCCAAAAAGGCCAAGACAGTGCTGGGCTGCATTAACAGAGGGATAGAATCAAGATCACGTGAAGTATTAATACCACTTTACAAGGCCTTAGTAAGGCCACACTTGGAATACTGCATCCAGTTTTGGTCACTACGATGTAAAAAAGATGCTGAGATTCTAGAAAGAGTACAGAGAAGAGCAACAAAGATGATTAGGGGACTGGAGACTAAAGCATATAAGGAATGGTTGCTGGAATTGGGTAGGTCTAGTTTAATGAAGAGAAGGACGAGGGGGGACATGATAGCAGTGTTCCAATATCTCAGGAGCTGCCACAAAGAAGAGGGAGTCAAGCTATTTTCCAAGGCGCCTGAAGGCAGGACAAGAAGCAACGGATGGAAACTGATCAAGGAGAGAAGCAACCTAGAACTAAGGAGAAACTTCCTGACAGTGAGAACAATTAACCAGTGGAACAACCTGCCTCCAGAAGCGGTGAATGCTCCAACACTGGAAGTTTTTAAGAAGAGACTGGACAGCCATTTGTCTGAAATGGTATAGGTTTCCTGCCTGAGCAGGGGGTTGGACTGGATGACCTCCAAGGTCCCTTCCAACTTTATTATTATTATTATTACATAGCATTCCCCCCCCCAAATTTTCCCTGCAACTACTAGCTTGTTTGTGCGCTAAGACAGGGCAGCTGTCTCAAAGTCCACTAAGGAGCTTCAATCGCTGAGGGAAGGCTGGTTAAACAATTCAGCTACTATTTATTATACTGAGTTTATATTTGCCTTGACCATCAATTAATCAGAAGCGTTTCCCATCAGAGAGGTTCAAACTTATTCCATCTTCTCAGAATATCTTCCTGTCAGAATAAAAAATGAGCAGTAGACATTATGGAGAAAATAAAGTGCCTGGCATCTAAGTTGTTTTTTTTTTTTTTTTTTTAAATGCAGACAAATCTAATATATGGCTGGAAACTGAATTCATACAAGACTCTGTTTGATTCTGCTGAGACTATGGTCAGCCTTCAGTTAGGAATTTTCAACTATGAAGAGGTATGATATGATACTTTCTAAATAAGGTCAGTCAAATGAAAATATCAAACAGTGATTACTTCATTTAGAGCACGGAGAAATGTGGACTGATCTTATCAGAAGGGAACCTATGATTTAAATCTAGAGAGAGAGAAACGTAATCAAGGAAAAATTTTAAAAAAATGAAATATAGACTAATTTGGGGTGCAAATCTATGCATCCTGACCACATATAGCAAAGCTTACTTTTGCATATACATGCAAAGGGTTGTACCCACTACAGCATTACGTCTCTCCAATTTGATATCCTGCAACGATCTGGACTCAAGAGTTACCCAGTCATCTTAGCCACTGTTGAGAATTTTGGGAGCTTAAATTTATAAAGGGAAGAGAATCTGGTGACAGAAAGCTGAGTTAGCTTCTTCTTCTCATTAGAATGGGTTTTATGGATGGATTAGAGAACAAACAAAAGTATATGATATCGTCAAGAGAGTAAAAGAATTGAAATGGAAATGGGCTGGTCACATGGGAAGAACTACTAAGGGCAGTCGTAGAATAGATCCCACTTGATAAAAAGCGTCCATGAACGAGACCAGATCAAAAATATTTGTTATACTTATTCAGCTGTAAAAACTGTACAGGGAAATAAAATCATAAGCATTGAAATAATTCAATGTACCCAGGTTAGCTAGTTTCCTGTTGCTGTTAGCTAGCAAAATCAAAATCTCAGCTGCCTCCAGGACATGCAGCAGCTACTGCCCTGTTCAGAGTTTTTAAGCAGCTTTATAAAAACCTTTTTTTTCTTCTATGTTTTTTTTTCCATAGACTAATAACATTTCTCGAATTACAGGTCTTGGATTACAATCCTATCTTGGGCTCCTTCTTGATCGGTTCCTGCATCATCTTCATGACATTTGTGGTGTTGAACCTCTTCATCTCGGTCATCCTGGTGGCTTTTAGTGAGGAGCAGAAACATTATCAGGTTTGTTCATCGAATCTAAAGCTCAGTTTAAAGGAGACTTGAGAAAGTCCCAAAGTCGAATCTGGGGGCTTCTGGAGTCCTTTGCGACGCTTAACACCCGGTGTGGATGGTGGAACTCTCTCAGATGGGAAGAATGCTTTTCTGCCATTTTGTTGAAGGAAATAATGAAAAAAGAGGGGGGAAAAAACCAGTGCATGGCTGAAAAATGGATATACTGTGTTTCCCTAAAAATAAGACCGGGTCTTATATTAATTTTTACTCCAAAAAATGCATTGGGACTTATTTTCTGGTTAGGTCTTATTTTGGGGAAAAAATGGTACTCAATGCGTCCGTCTGGCTGAGGATCTTAACTGGTGCTTATTTTGGTGGTAGGGCTTACATATATTATGAGCATCCTGAAAAATCATGCTGGAGCTTATTTTCCAGTTGGGTCTTAATTTTCGGGAAAACACGATAGTGCAGTTGTCCAAACAGAAAAGTCGAAAGACGTTCTTTCAAAAGCTTGGACAATCCAACTCTTGATGCATCTTGCTTCAACTGGCATTATTTGCTGTCCAATGCAGCCCATCCTTGTCTGTTCTCCAATGACCATGCTGTTCACCAAAAGGCTGGTCACTCTTGAGGTCAAGACAAAGTCGCCTGCAGTAGGAGGGAATCTCAATACGGGAAGTCCCCGAATTATAACCATCCGTTTAACGACTGTTCAAAGTTACAATGGCACTGAACAAAGCAACTTACAACCGATCCTCAAACTTGCAATCGTCACAGCATCCCCATGGTCATGTGATCATAATTTGGACCTTTGGCAACCAGCACGTATTTACCATGGTTGCTGCATCCTGGGCTCATGTCATCACCATTTGAGACCTTTCCAGATGGCTTCCGACAAGCAGCCAGTGGGAGAAGCATTCACTCTACGCTTCACTTTACAAAGTGGTGATTTGCTTAACAGAAAAAAGTCATAAAATTGAGTCTGGTTCACTTAACAGCTGCTTGGCTTTCCAGTCCCTATTGTAGTCATAAATCAAGGACTATTTGTTTGCTGATTTTCCCCATGGTAAGTTCTCACATGCTGAACTACAGCTTCCATTGGTCCTAGATAGGCTAGCTAGTCATTGGCTATATTGCCTGGGTGTGGATGGCGTTTAATACACGTGGAGAATATCAGGGTAGGATGCTCTGCATTAAATAATAGCTTTTGATTTGCAAGATGAATCTTTCTCTTTTCTTGATTTTGTGGCATCAATTCACTGTCAATTCAGCCGTCTGGCTAGGGAATTTTGGAAGTCGAAATCCGTGCATCTTAAATTTTGCTAAGGTTGAGAAATACTACTCCATTTTTATTTTTATTTTTTAGCAATCCAGCGTTGTAACACTCATAACATTTCTTTTTTTTTAAAGGCTTCAGAAGAAGAGATAGTGGACCTCCTGCTGAAGAAAATGTGCAGTTTTCTTGGAATTAAATATAAAAATGACCGCGTTCCAGCTTGTGGCAAGCAGCTGCAAGCATCTGGGAATGACATGTAATGGCTCACCCAAGATTTTGCTTCTCATGTGGATTTGTAGCTGGTGTGGTTCACTTGTAAATGTTGTGATTTCTGGGTTTGTGACATGCTGTGGTAGAAAACGGGAGCTCATTTTTAGGAATCCAAAGCTTCGATTTGATCTGTAATAATTGAATGTGTATTTTGCTAAAGATATAGAAATACTTTCTTAAGCTAGATAGAACAGGATTCCTTTTTGAGGTGTGCATTGCTGTTTCCCGTCCCTATTTCTCAGTGTGATATAATAAATGCTAAGTATTAAAGCATAATTGCAGCTCAGTTAATTAAAGATTTGCAACTGACATGTCTCATATTCCTGTAAAATTTTCCCCATGGAAATGTTTGGCTCTCATACAAATATCATCACGTATGAGTGGAAGGTCCCAGAAATTGAAAAGATGAAGAAGAAAAACAGTCCTTTTTGATACATTTTCCACTGCAGGCTTAATAAATAGAATTCCCAAATGTAAAAGATTAAACAAAATATCCCTTCTTGGAGAAACGGATTTGCAGTATGGCAAGCGAGCCATACATCTCCCACCCATTTTTTTTCTCCAGCTAAAATAATTCCTCAAAATGCTTTTGTCTGGGATTTCCAACCTACGGATGTTTATTCAGGTTTTCTAAGAAAACAGACATGCTGTAATCTACTGGAGCCAAGTGCTTTCAAAAACAAAAACGGGTAAGAACCGATACAATTTAAGTAAAAAAAAAAAAGTTTATCACCACTGAAGGCTAGCAAAGCTAGGGTTGCCAGGTCTGCTTCCAAAAAATACCGGACAAGCGGGGTGGGGTGGGGGGGTTAAGTAGTAAAAAAAGTAGACTGTACAGCTTTAGATTACGTACCATTTCATCATAAAGCTTTTGAATAAAAAAAATGTCCACTATTTTGTGAAAAAAAATAGCGAACATAATGTGAAAAAAGTGGACTGTCTGCTCAAATAATAATAATAATAATAATAATAATAATAATAATAATAATAATAATAATAATAATAAAGTTGGAAGGGACCTTGGAGGTCATCTAGTCCAACCCCCTGCTCAGGCAGGAAACCCTATACCATTTCGGACAAACGGCTGTCCAGTCTCTACTTAAAAACTTCCAGTGTTGGAGCATTCACCGCTTCTGGAGGCAGGTTGTTCTACTGGTTAATTGTCCTCACTGTCAGGAAGTTTCTCCTTAATTCCAAGTTGCTTCTCTCTTTGGTCCGTTTCCAACCATTGCTTCTCGTCCTGCCTTAATAATAATAATAATGATAAAGTTGGAAGGGACCTTGGAGGTCATCTAGTCCAACCCCCTGCTCAGGCAGGAAACCCTATCCCATTTCAGACAAATGGCTGTCCAGTCTCTTCTTAAAAACTTCCAGTGTTGGAGCATTCACAACTTCTGGTGGCAAGTGGTTCCACTGATTAATTGTTCTAACTGTCAGGAAATTCCTCCTTAGTTCTAGGTTGCTTCTCTCCTTGATCATTTTCCATCCCTTGCTTCTTGTCCTGCCTTCAGGCGCTTTGGAGAATAGCTTGACTCCCTCTTCTTTGGGGCAGCCCCTGAGATATTGGAACACTGCTATCATGTCCCCCCTCGTCCTTCTGTTCGTGGACACCTGGCAACCCTAAGCAAAGCATTCTCAGGTCCAGCTTGACTGCTGGCATCTGTATCCATGGCCAGATTCCCGAAGGACTTGGTTGGCCCACTCCACCACCTGCTTGATGAGCTTTCCATCCTGGCCCACTAACCAGATCTGACTCTGTCCAGCTTCCACGCTGAGCTCAGAGAAGGCCGGCTGGGGGGTCACCATCCCTCCCCAAAAAGGGACCTTTTCCAGTTTTGCAGCTGCCTCTCTCTCTGGGTGTTGCTATCCACACAGCACCCAGCAGAAAACCTATCGGGGGGGGGGGTAGGGTTGCCAGGTCTGCTTCCAAAAAATAGCGGACAAGCGGGGGGGGGGGGTTTAAGTAGTAAAAAAAAAGTAGACCGTACAGCTTTAGATTACGTACCATTTCATCATAAAGCTTTTGAATAAAAAAAATGTCCACTATTTTGTGAAAAAAAAAATAGTGAACATAATGTGAAAAAAGCGGACTGTCCGCTCAAATAGTGGACACCTGGCAACCCTACGGGGTGGGGGGTTCAATCCTGGCACTTTCTCCAACCTCCCCCTCCACACACCGCTGCTCCCCAGAGTCTTCTTCCCCTCTGCAGGCCGGGGAAGAGGGGAATTGTAGTCCCTCCAACTCCAGAGCGCAGCGCGCGGGGCGAAGGAGAGGGGGCAAAAATGGAAAGCTCTCCGCAGCGGCGCGCAGCGACTCCGCCCGGCGCGGCACCCCTTTCCTTCCCTTCCCCTCGCCCGGCCAGGCCCCCTCGGGCCGGGAAGGCCCGCCTCCTCCCTCCCTCCCTCCCCTCCTCTTGCCCGGCTGCTTTTGCCCTCCGGCCCGGGCCGCCTCTCCGCGGAGCGGCCCCGCGATGGCAGCAGTGGCGGCGACTTGGCGAGCGCTGCGGAAGGTCGGGCTTGGCGCCGCGGCCGGGCCGCGCGGATCCTTCCGGCCCGGCGGATCCTGGCTGGGGTGGCCCAGCAGCAGCGGCGCCCGCAGCGGCCCCGAGGCCCGGCGGCTCTGCACCAGCCCCGCGTTGCTGCTCGCCGGTGAGTGGCGGCCGGGGAAGCGGAGCCCTCCTGCGCCATTGCAAGGAGAGGCGGTGCCAGAGCGCGGCGGGAGGCGCCCAGCTCGCCTGGCCGCCCTGCTGCTCACCCGGCTCCGGATCCAGCCTCGCCGAGGGATCGCCCGCAAAGCCCGAGCGCCGGGGCGCGTAGCCGGAGGCCCCGCCGCTTCCCTGCACGGCTCTCGGAGCGAGGGGCCGGCAGCCGGGCAGGTGGGGCGCCCCGGCGCGCGGCTCTTGCAGTTCGGCTGATTTGCGCGCTTCTGGGGGAGAAGGGATGCCGGGAGTTGGATCAGGCTGCCCGTGAATCCCGCTTCCTGGAAGCCGAGGCCCTTCGCTTTCACGCGTGGGCAAGCGCAGCCAGGGAGTGGGTTTCCTGGAAAGGGCCCGTTGTGCAACGCAGGGTGGCAAAACAAATGAACCGCGGAGCGTAGCAAGCCTTCCTTCCTCGCAGTCAAGGCTGAGCTTCGGATATAGAGCGAATGTCGTTTTTAGTAGGCTTTCAAGCTGAGAAACGTTACCAGGAAGGTGCATTGTTCAGTGTGTTTCCCTCCCCCCCCCTCTTTCCAATACATAACTCTGGGTTCCAGGCTGCCCCTCATCCTGCAGGGGTGCTGAGACCTTGTTGGAGAAATTGGCCAGGGTGACTTTGGGCCAGTCCCTTTCTCTCAGCCCAACCCCCACCCCACAGGGTTGTTGTGGTGGGGAAAATAGGAGGAGAAAGTAATATTAGGGATGTTTGCGGCCCTGGGCTGTTTATAAAGGATGCCCATGGTGTCTCCTGCAAATTGGTCCAGAGAGAACTGAACATGCTCAGTAGTTGTGGAATTGTATCATCTGGAAAGGAAATAGTGCAAAAAGAGAGAGAGGGCAGGACAGTAAAGAAAAAAGTATTGGTTGGGAGTGTCATTGTGTTAGGAGAACAAAATATCTGCTTTCTTTCTTTCTTTCTTTCTTTCTTTCTTTCTTTCTTTCTTTCTTTCTTTCTTTCTTTCTTTCTTTCTTTCTTTCTTTCTTTCTTTCTTTCTTTCTATTATTTAGTGCCTTAATTTATCCCTTTCTACTATTATGTTGAATATGAGTGAAGTGTGTGCCTTTGCGTAATATTTGACAGGTTTTACAAATAGATCGATTGGGTGCCACCAGTTCAGTTTTAACTTATAGCCACCTCGTGGTTAATTTCTTAGCCCCCATCTCACATAGGTAGTAGTGTATACTCACACTGGGCAACTTAAAACAATACACAAATAGAAATAACAAAGCCCCAAAACAAACATTAAAAATAATAAAATAATCTGGGAGAGTACAGCCCGTACACGAGAAACAACGCATCCATGTCACAGCTTCCATAATTCTGCTGACCTCCAGACCTGATGCAGAGCTATATCTTCAAGGCCTTCTGGAAAAGTTAGTGAGATTGGGATCTCCTCCAAAATGATCTGCCCCCCCCCACCTGATTCCTCATCTCTTTCCATAGCGTTCCCTTCACTGCTGTAATCAAATCCATCCACCTTGCTGCTGGTTATTCCCTTTGTTTCTTTCCACCTTTGCCAGCATTAGAGCCATCTCAAGGAGCTAGCCCCTTTGCACATTAATAATAATATTCATCATCATAACGTATAATAATGAAGCAAGTATGGAAACAACTTTTGTACGTGCGGAAGGGGAATAATATTACGAGTAATGTAGAAAGCAAAAGCCGGATCCAGCATAAGGTTGAAAGTTTGACAAAGTTTGACTGATCAGACAGGGAAAAGCACTGAAGTATAACCTAAGCAGATACGAATGCCTAAAAAAATAATTCTTAAATATGATTTACCGCTTTACGCCTTACATCAAAAAGGAATTTCTTAGCTCAGGATTCAGTTTTGGGGTCCATACTAGAAGAGCATAAGTAGGATTGCAGAGGGATATGCAAATACAGAGCCTTAAAACTGACCCATTTCTTGTTGTTGTTTTTTAAGCTCGTCGGTTTACAGACAAGCACGAATGGATCTCCGTTGAAAACGGTATCGGAACGATAGGAATTAGCAACTTTGCACAGGTACTGTTTTCAACCCTCCCTGGTTCTTGGCATTGTCGGTTGGCCTTGCTCTTTGATTTCTTGATTGTCCTAACTGCCATTTCTGCCTGCAAAGCCAATTTGTGGACTTGGACCTCAGAGCCTGCCTGGAAAACATGATTGACAGCCCCGGCTCTGCCCTCTTCCTGCCTCACTGGCTTGGCCTCATCCCAAGAAGCTTAGAAGCGGAGGGGAAATAACAGGCCTCAATGTTTCTATTATAATTTCTCTTTGGCTCATTGGAGAAAATGCATTTCATAATGTAAGAAAGGCAGTCTTTAGATTACCAGGAGCAATATAGGTAGTCCTTGACTTAACAACAGTTTGTTTAGTGACCGTTCACAGTTGGATGGAACTTGAACTCTCGGTCTCCTGGTGACTGGTCCAGAGTCACTCAGCAGGCTTTCACGATTAAGACAGGACTCGAACTCATCGCCTCTTACTCTCCAGCCTGGAGCCTTAACCATTAAACCAAACTGGCTCCCAACTGGCTCTCTTTCTTAAGGACAATATGAGAAGTGCAACAAAGCTCCTCATATTTGGAGTCAGGTGTTGGGCTCCCCTGTCCATGTTGCCAAAAATGGGAGGTGCGTGGACTTCTTTCCTGCTTAAATTCCACCACGAAATGCTCAAATTTTCTACAGCGGTATCCACTTCTCTTGAGTCATTGCTGACACGGGAATTTTTCATTTCAGGAAGCACTAGGCGACGTTGTTTATTGCAGTCTTCCAGAAATTGGAACAAAGCTGAACAAACAAGGTAATTGTTTTTGGTGTTTAAAAAGAAAAACCTTGTCTCTCCCCAAAGTAAACGTTAATTAAGCAGCAATGTCATCTTTGGGTGAATCAAGTTACTTTAAGTTTTGTTTTTTTTAAAGGATACAGGTGTGGCCAAAAGATTTCTTTTTCTCTACTCTGAATAGCAGACCGATGTGGATGTTTGATGGTGTTTCAGGTATCTGAGTAAAGCCCACCTTTTCCAATGGACGGATCATAAATTTGTCGATGCTGAAGGCGTTTAAGTGGTGCTCCAGTTGTTTTGGGATTGCACCCAAGGTGCCTATTATGGTTTATTATACAGGCAGATGCTCAGAACTGGACTTGGCATTTTTGCCTGTTATTTATGTATTTATTTATTTGCCACCCTGGGGCTACTTTGGACGGCTTAGAAGAATAAAAAGGATGGGGGGGGGGGGAAGCGTGTGAACAGGACAGAAGAGAATAGAACAATAAACAAACAATGAAAGAGAACACAATGAGAAATACAACTATATGATTACCAAAAGAAGAAGAAGAAGAAGAAGAAGGATGGACAGGTAGAAAGCAGAAAACCAGGACAGGCGGGGACGGGGGGGAGAAATGCAGGATCTGCCATCCATCCAGCAGCCCCCTTCAGCATGACGTGTCGTACAAATGGAAACTCTCGTTGTGGGATCCCTGTGCCAATGCTTTCTCCCATTTAATGTTCCAGATGAATTTGGAGCCTTGGAAAGCGTGAAGGCTGCTAGTGAAATCTACTCCCCCATCACGGGAGAAGTCATAGACATTAACACGGCCCTTGCTGATAATCCTGGCCTGGTCAACAAATCTTGTTACCAAGAGGGTAAGAGAAGGAATTCCCACTTTTCCCAAAGTTTCTGAATGATAGTTTGCAGAATTCGCAATAGTGGCACGTATCTGTTCTTGTGATGGGTCTTGTGATGGGGAGGCTACATCAGGTCGTTGGGAGATTGCAGAATATCACAACAATACTATGGGAACTTATCCAACAGAGTAATGTGGGATAAGCATTACAGGTAGTCCTCAACTTACAACGGTCAGTTGTAAGTCAGGGTGGCCGTTAAGTGGGTCACCATGTGACCGTGACTGATTGTGCAACCTTTTTGCAGTAATTGTTAACCGAACTCATTTTCCCCCCGATCGGTGGTTTTTGGCCCTAAACTGGAAGTAAATACTGGAAACTGGCAAACAGAAATGCCCAAAATTGCAGTCACGTGACCGTGGGATGCTGCAAAGAGCCATCAATGCAAACTGGGTTTGCTAAGTACCCGAAATGCGATCACAGAACCGCAGGGTGTGTGCGTATACAGTTGTGGAAACTTTGAAACTGGGTTGCAAATAGCTCTGGGGAAGTCAGTTGTAACTTCGGTCACTAGTGAGTTGTTGTTAAGTGAGGATTACCTGTAAAGTTCTTTGGAAGGCCAGATCCTGAAGCTGAAGCTCAAATAGTTTGGCCACCAAATGAGAAGAGAGAATTCCTTGGAAAAGACCCCGATGTTGGGGAAGATGGAAGGCAAAAGGAGAAGGGGACGGCAGAGGAGGAGATGGTCAAATAGGACGGGGGAGCAGGCTAAGATCCATGGAGTTGGGAAGAGTCAGACACAGCTTAGTGTCTGAACAAAAATCCCAAACAATACATATGAAAAAGGAAAGGGGCTTCAGTTGTGTCTGTTGAGGTTCTCAGTCATCCAGTTATCCAAGGTGCTTTTTCAAGAGACAACTGGACTTTCTTTATTTTTCCTTGAAGACGTTTCGCTTCTCATCCAAGAAGCTTCTTCAGTTCTGACTTAACGACTGAACAAAGTGCAACCTTTCAACCTCGCTTTCAAAGATTTGGCAGTTTGTAACTAGAAAAGCAGCTCTCCGATTTCCCTTGGTTAAAACCTGCACAGGAATTGCATTCATCATCATAATGCAATATCTGCTACTTACTACAGATAGTTTCTTGATTTACAATGAACATGAATTTGGGCAAACTCCGGGAGACAGCGGAGGACAGGAGACCTGGCGTACTCTATAGTCCACGGGGTCGCAAAGAGTCGGACCTGACTTAGTGACTGAACAACAGCAACAAAAACCTGTAAAGTTAAGAGGAGAAACCCCTGGACCTAAGAGTAGCATTTACGCGAACTACAGGAGCCCTGGTGTTGTTGTTTTTTGGTTTTTTTAAAAAAAACCCTGATTTGTTGTTGTTGTTTTTTGCTCACAGGTTGGCTTATCCAAATGACTGTGGATAATCCTTCTGAACTGGACGATCTCTTGACTGAAGATGCGTATGAAAAATACATCAAATCCATTGAGGAATAGCTAGAAGGTGCCAATAGCTAAGCCAGTGCCAACTCCGGTGTAGATTGTCCCAAATTACTGGCCCAAAGAGAAGTTGGCGCAGCAGCCGGTTGAGGAAATTTTCGAGGGGGAAAAAAAAAAAAAAGCACTGCCTTTCTTCAAATTGCGCGAAAGGCAGTCCCACAAATGTCTGCAAAATCAAAACGTCGCTCCGCTTCTCTTTCTAGGCAGCATCAGGAATAATTTCGACTTTTCTCCCCCTCCGTTCTGATGAATATAATTCCGAGGTTTGAAGTCCATAACTCCTTCTTGGGTAGAGTGACCTTTGTTGCTGAAATGAACCCAGAAGGGTTGATAAGAATAGATCTGGGAAAACGATGCGACAGCCTTAATTCCACCGCACCACAACTTCTGCTTTTTATTTGTACAGATTTTCTTCCTTTTTCTTCTTCCACCAGCTTTCCCTGGGCGTCTGTTTTCAGTCGGCTTTTTGGTCACCTACCAGAAGCTCTGCTGCTGCCTTTGGTATTAGTGAAAGTCCTCAGAGATTAGATGGTCCGAAAGGGCAAGTGCTGGGCTGGAGGCGTGCGAGACCTCCAGCTAATCTTTCCTGCCTTGCAGCAGATAAGATAGCAGAAGTTAATAAAAAATCCTGACTTTACCAAGTGTGTTTGTTGTTCCCGTTATAGTCTCTTTGTGGGATTAATAGTTAAGTGGTGGGTAAGACTCAGATTGTGTATCGTTCTGGACAAATCTCTTCTTTAAAACCTCCAGTGATGGAGCACCCACAACTTTTGGAAGCAAATTAGGTTAGTTGTCCTCACTGTCAGGAAATTCCTGCTTAGTTCTAGATTGGATTTCTTCATTAAGCTTCCATCCATTGCTTCTTGTCCTGCCTTCACGTGTTTTGGAGAATGGATTGGCCCTCTGCTCACTGTGGGAGCCCCTCGGATATTGGAAGACTGCTATCGTGTCACCCCTAGTCGTTTTGCTCATTGGAATAAACCTACCCTACTTCCAGGGCCAATCTATTCTCCAAAACACGTGAAGGCAGGACAAGAAGTAATGGGTGGAAGCTTAACTGTTCATCACACACTTTGGTGTCCAGCCCCCTAATCATCTTTGACGCTCTTCTCTGCATTATTTCTAGAGTCCCAATATCTTTTTTGTATTATGGTTAAAAATACAAATGGGGGAAAAGCCCAGAGTGTGGTCTAATCAGGTCTGTAAATTGGGACGAGGCAGGAAGTGACATCATGCATGTCATGAGATTGTGACTTCTATTAGAGGCCCACCCACCGTAAACCGTACTTGCAAGAGCCAGGAAGTCAACCTCTGGAAAGAGTGTGAGTTCTGGATCCATCCAGTAGAGGGCACTGCTGGCTTGCTAAGCCGCCACCAAGGGCCTAGGGTGGTATTCTCCCAAGGTGCTACCACTCAGTTGTGTTGGGACTACAACTCCCAGAATTCCCCCAGTAGCTCGATGTGGCATGGGCAGGGGTAGGCAACCTGGGCTCTTTTATGATTCAGGCATTCTGGGAGTTGAAGTCCACGAGTCATAAAAGAGCCGAGGTTACCTACCCCGTGGTCTTGGGTACAACGCATCAGGAGAATATTAAAAGGCTGCAGCTTCCTCAAATGCAGCCACAGGACGAGGAGGAGGAGAAGACAGATTGGTTATGTTAGATGCAGCTGACATGCACGCTGCAGCTCATGAAAGCTTTGCCTTTTAATAGAAATGAATTAGCGGGAAAAGACAACTCCTGGTTCATGGATGTTGCTTTTCTATTGGTTTTCGGGCGAGATGGAGGGCTGTTTTTCAGCCCTCTCTGTGGGAAGCCGCTTGGAAATAATATTTGTGTTCAGCTGCAGCTGTCATTTTCCCGGTGACTGTTCTGCAGCCGAGCGAATAAAAATTAAGGAGATGGCTGAGTTTTTAAACTTCGCTAAACAGATCAGTGCTAAAAGATGTGGATTTTTTTATTTTTTATTTTACTAAAGGGCCTTTAAGGATCGGTCTTCATTCCGTTTGGCTCGTATTTATGACGGTCGCATTGCCCTGGAGTCATGTGATCCCCTTTTGCAACCTTCTGACAAGCAAAGTCAGAAGATTCACTTAACAACCGGGTTACTAATTTAACTGCAGCAATTCACTTAACAACTGTGGCAAAAAAGCTCATAAGAGCTGCGGAGGCCCAGTGGTTAGGGTGCAGTATTGCAGGCTAACTCTGCCCACTGTCAAGAGTTTGATCCTGACCGGCTCAAAGTTGACCCAGCCTTCCATCCTTCCGAGGTAGGCAAAATGAAGAGCCAGATTGTTGGGGGCAAAATGCTGACTTTGTAAACCTCTTAGAGAGGGCTGTAGAGCACTGTGAAGCAGTATGCCCTTGACGTGATGACCCGGTGCCTGGAGGCCGTGAGGGTCTGGATGGGGAGAAACAGACTCAGGCTCAACCCTTCCAAGACCGAGTGGCTGTGGCTACCGGCGCCTCGGCATAGTCAGCTGACTCCATCGCTGACTATAGGGGGCGAAACTTTGGCCCCCTCGGATAGGGTACGCAATCTGGGTGTCCTCCTGGA